ACAGAAACTGTACTCATTAAACAATAACCCTACATTTGCTCCTCCCTCCAGCCCATGGTAATCTCTATTCTACTTTTTGTCTCTATGAACTTGCCTATTCTAGGTGCCTCACATAAATAGAACTATACATGTTTGTCCTTTGGGTTGTTTCCACATTTTGGCTATTGTAAAAAATGCTACAATGAGTATTTGTTGTATAAGTTTTTGTATAGATATGTTTTTCAAATTTGAATACATGTATTGAGGTGGAATTGCTGGGTGATACCGTAATTATATTTAACTTCCACATTCTCACCAGAAGTGTATGAAGATTCCATTTTCTCTACATCCTCATCAAGACTTGTTGCTATCTGTTGTATCTTTTTAAATTCCTGTCCTTCCTTTCTACTGAATATAAAGTAGAATTTCATGTGGTTTTGATCTGCAATTCCCTAATGTCTAATGAAATTAAGCAGTTTTTCATGTGCTTACTGGCCATTTGTTTATCTTTTTATAATAACTGTTCAATGTCCTTGTCTGTTAATTCTTAAATCCACATCAATTTTGGGCTGGGTTTGATTGATTAATCCTTTTTTAAAAAAATATGTTTTTATTGAATTTTTAGAGAGAGAAGAAGGAAGAATTGGAAACATCAATGTGAAAGAGAAATATTGATCAGCTGCCTCCTGCACGCCCCCTATTGGGGATCGAGCCCTGCAACCCAGGCATGTGCCCTGACTGGGAATCACATCAGGACCTCTCGGTTCATGGGACAAAACTCAATCCACTGAGCCACACTGACAGGGCGATTGATTCATTCTTTAAGAAATATATTTTCTTGCTTCTTTGCAAGAAATGTCTAATAAATTTTGTTTAGTTGAAAGACACTGTGAATTTTATTTCTTGGGTTCTGGATATTTTAATATTAGTATAAATATTCTTTTTTTTTTTAGGATGTCTATAAATATTAGGCACAGAAAACAGGTTCATTGAATAAACAAATGAACCTGTGAGTATAAATATTCTTAAGTCTTGTCCTGGGACATAGTTAAGTTACTTGAAAACCATTTGATAGTTGATATATAATTTTTGAGATGACATGCGCACTATATTAGTTTTAGCTGTACAAGATAATGATTTGACATTTGTATATATTGCAAAATAAATACCACAGTAAGTCTAGTTAATAGCCACACCACACATAGTTAATTTTTTTTTCTTCTGATGGGAGCTTCTAAGATTTACTCTCTTATACAATTAACTATAGTCACCACGCAGTACATTACATCCTCAGGCCTTTTGATCATCTTCACACATTTTGCCTACCCCCTCATCTCTAGCAAGTCCTATCAGTTATCTGTATCTATGAGGTTTTTTTGTTTTTGTTTTTTTAAGATTTCACTTGAACTGCAATCATGAGATTTGTCTTTCTCAGTCTGATTTATTTCACTTAGCCTAATACCTTAAAGGTCCATGCATATTGTTGCAAATGGCAAGATTTCATTCTTTTTTATGGACAAATCATATATATATAATCACAAGTTTTTTATCCACTCATCCATCTATGGACACTTAGGTTGCTTCCATGTCTTGGCTATTGTAAATAATGTAGCAATGAACATAGGGGTTACATATATCTTTTCAACTAAGCGTTTATGTTTCCTTCAGATTAATGCCCAGAAGTAAAAATGCTAGACGGTTACGGTAGTTGTATTTTTAATTTTTTGAGCAACCTCCATACTGTTTTCCAGAGGGCCTGTACCAATTTATATTGCACAAGGGTTTCCTTTTCTCCACATCCTCACCAACATTTGTTATTTGTCTTTTTGATAATAGCCATTTTAACAGGTGTGAGGTGATACCTCATTGTGGTTTTAAATTCCAGTGCCCTGATGATTAGTGATGGTTTGCACCTTTTCATGTACCTGGGTCTTGCTTTTAAGATTTGTTGTGTTCCAGGATTAGAGCAGAGCTCAGTCTAGGGTTGATTATTCTCCGCAACTGATACAAGGCCTTCTGAGTATGCTACCCCGAGTCCTGAGGTGCTTCTAGTCTGGCTGGTGGGAAGAGGTATTATTCCAGTTCTGTGTGAGCTCCAGGTAGTAACCCTTTCAGCGGATTTTCTGCCAGCCTCAGGTCATTTCCTCACAGGTCTATGTTGATCAGTACTCAGCTAAATACTTGAGGAGAAGTGTCTTCTGCTCTCTCAGGTTCTCCCTCTTTGTAGCCCTCTACTTTCGAATACTCCGTCATGCAATTCCAACCCCCTGGTCTCTCTGGACCAGCTCCTTGTCCTGGAGCCGCAATCGCTGGGCTCTGCCGGCATCCCCCTCCCTGCACCACAGCCCCACGCTCCCTAGGCAGCGGCTGCCCCTCACCCGGCTCACCTTGTTTCCTGTCTCTCAGAGATCACTCATTTTACCTTGCAGAACACTGTTTATATTATCTGCTGGTATTTTGGTTGTTTCAGGCAGGAGGATAAATCAGGCTCTCCAAATTGGCTAGAAACAAAAGACTTAACTGACTTTCTCCTGGGTGTGGGTCACCTGTTCCCACTTCTTCCTGTGAGTAATAATATTTGACTGGATGGTAGAAATTGTTGAATTCTGGATTTCTCTTATTTTTTCAATGGACTGGGACTTCTTTCTAGTGTCCTCATGTCCTCGGCCTCCCCAAATTCTGATCTGTCTCCCCTCAACTCAGCAAGATTGCCAGGCTCTGTTTGGGTCCCGCTCCCTGCACTGCAACTCAGACACTGCCTCCGGGCAGAAAGCCTGAGCCACAGTAACTAACCTGAGACAAGGCAGCACTCACCTCCTTGGTTACCCTTCTCTTAGGGATCAAGCCCTGTGCTGCCTGTCCTGTCTGAAAAGACTGTTTCATATACTGTGCTCAGTTTTCTAGGCATAATAGCAGGAGGATAATTCTGGATATTTTCATTCCCTTATGATCTCAAGTGGAAATTTCAATTTATTTTCAAATCTGCTGGATCATTTTGATCAGTACGCTATTGCTTGTACTTTTACTATTATTATTATGTATCAACAGGTTCACTTAAAGGGAGCTTGTACATTTTGACACAGTATTTTCAATCCACAGTTGGGAATCCCCATATGCAGAGGGCTGACTTAAGTTATATAAGCAGGTATTTTACTGTGCTGGGGTCAGCACCCCTAACCCCCACATTGTTCAAGGGTCAACTGTAAGTTCGTTTCTATAAACACTGCATGCATTCTTAGTTTATAATCTACTATCTAAAGTCCTGGGTGTCTAAATCTGTTGTTTGTTTCTAGTCATTCTCTCTCATGGTAATTTATTTCCTTGAGTGGCTTGTGATTTTTTTTCTAGTGGACACATATTTAGTTGATTTTAATCTGCAAAAAACCTGAGCACCTACATCTGAAGGAACGTGTCCCTTCAAAGGCTATTACCAAATAACTCCGTGAGGAGCCAAGGCCCGCTCCTCTCCCAGAACTTCTCAAGCCCCTTTCAGGGTTCTCTCCTCGATCAAGGATTCGTCCATCCACCCACCTGTCTCTCTTCTTCCTTAATGATGTTGTTATTCGCCCTCAGGCAGAGCCCTGCCTTTCAGACGTGCTTACTGCCCACTGCCCTGGCTTCCGCTGTCCTTCCCGTGGGCCCTGTGACGACCCTCTTGTTCTGCAGCGCAGCAGAAAGGCCCCTTGCTGTGTCTAGTGCACCATGCTGTCAGAAGCAGAAACTTGGATTTCCTATTTCATTTTGTCTCTTGTTGGTGCCTTAAACGCATCACCCAGACTTAAAGATACCACCTGCCCTTGGGCTTCCATTATAACCTTAATTTGCAAGACTTTTATTTATTTTTCTTCATTGATTTTAGAGAGTGAGGAAGGGAGAGGGGGAGAGAGAGAGAGAGAAACATCGATGAGAGAGAACATCAACTGGCCACCTCCTGCATGCCCCTCCCTGGGGATCTGGCCCACAACCTGGGCATGTGCCCTGACTGGGAATCAAACCAGCGACCTCTTGGTGCATGGGTTGACGCTCAACTACTGAGCCACACCGGCCAGGCTATTTGTAAGACCTTTAAATCTACACTTCTAGATTTACTATTTCCCCCATGTTTGAAATCCCACAGTCCCAAGTGCTTATTGGACATGTCCATCTGGATGTCTGTCTGATTTAGACTTAATATATCCAAATCAAAACACAACATCTGTATGTTCTGTTTTTACATCCCCAAGAATTTTTCCTTCCATTCATAAACCCCAAACATTTCAAATTGAAAGAGATTTTCAGAACTCATTGTACAACTAGAGGAAGGAAAATAAGGACCAAGGATATTAACTAAATTTTTGCTCATCCCATCCAATTAATTTCTCTAAAATGTCACTTTCATCAGATTTCTTCAAAAACCTTCAGTGGTTTCCCTTTTGTCTAAACCTTAAGACACTTGCAGACCTTATGGTGAGAACACTCTCGCTACTGCAACATCCCTTCCCCACTGCCCCTGCAATAATCCTTCAAATACTCTCCTTACAAACAAAAACGAAACAAAACTTCAGTGATTTCCCAAAAGTCACGAGACTGTAGCTTGGCATTCAAGGGTTATCAAAATCTAGTTTTATTTTTCCATATATGAAGCCTCTGTTACAGTCAAGTGAGTCTAACTCTCCAAATCTTACTCTTCTACATGTCACTCAGCCAGAAGACTCTTGTCTCTATCCAATTCTACTGGAATTCTACCTCTCTACCATAAATGCAGCTTAATTATCAATGCCTTTGCCAGTGTCACCACATTGAAATTAATTTATCCAACTGAATTTGTAGGGGGCATTTCTGAACTGTAAATTCACAGAACACTTATTAAATTCTGCTTTGTACAGTGGACATTTTCTTTCTGTTTTATGTTCTTTCAAAAGCAGCTGTTTCTCCAGGCAGAAAGCAGCTGTTCTGTGTTTCCCCCACCATGCTTGGCACGGTGACGGGCACTCAGAAGCTCAGTGAAGTTGGCTGAAAAAGTAAACTCAAGAGTTTCTTACCTTGGTGATGTCCGTGTGATCTTTGAGCCCATTGGTCATGCACCAATATCGCCACACGTTCAGGGCATACCGTGTGGCTTTGGTAGTATTTGGGCTTACTGCACTGGTACACAGATCATTCAAGTCATCATTAACATTAAACACAGGAAATTTGTTGAGTTTAGTAGAATAGGCTAGAAACAGAAAAAAATAAAAGGTATTAAAATAATTTGCCATTCCCTTCTTTAGAGAATTACATCTTGGGATCACATTAAATAACAGAAAACGCTTAAGAGAAAACTCTTTTAAAATATGAAATTTCCATCAAGTACACATATATTAGAATAAATAAAATAAAGAAAAATATTTCTAGCATAAAATCAATGCAGTAACCTTGCATTTAATCCCAACAATTTTGCACTGTATACTAACCGATGGACTAATGCAGGCATTCCAATAACAAAAGGGGGTGGGGAATAAATGCAGAGAAACAAGGAATGTTCTATCTAAAATTTTCACTGGAAAAAAAACAGCATTTCTAACAACAACAACAACAACAAGATAGAAGGGAAGACAAGTTACACATCCTGTCTCCTTACTCTTAGTATATGAAGAGCTGTTATTTCCCTATAATATATAGTCCCAAAGGTCCTATGTGCCATCCGGGGAAGCCTTGAATTAAATGGTGTTAGCATATTTCTTTCATTCTTCTCACAAATTAATAAAGAGAAAGATATCTGAACCCTGACTCCACAACTCACCAGCTAGCTTAGAATCAGAACGCAAGCCAAGGAAAATGTGAGAAATAGCAGGGATGGTGATAGGCCAGAGAAGTTCACCCGGTCTCAGAAAAAGGGAACAGATTTTAAATAGCAATTGCCAAATTACTTCAGAAGAAAACTGGTTTTCCTCAACGCATCCACTTTAAGTGCTGGTTGACAAAGAGATAATCAAGTCATCAGTGGGCCCTTCCTCGTACTCTGTGATCTACTAAAACCAGGCCTAAACTGTTCAAATTGTGGTCTTTGGCTAAAACAAACAAACAAACAAAAAGGTGGACCACCTCAAAGTAAAAACAATTCCAACCAGTACTTTATATCTACTGGTTCTGACCCTCTCTCTAGAATGTTTCTATATTCAAACAAGGAACTAAAAGGCCGAGAAACAGGGTGACCTACAAATTGGCCTCACTTTGCCTAACTCACCTCACCTTCCAGAGCTCCCACTGAGGAACTCCAAACCACCAGTCTCCTGCTGTCCCTAGCATCTGCCTACACCCATACCACACCTTCCCCACACTTAGCCCGAGACCTCTCCCCTTGGTTTTTATGCCAATCAAAAGTGCCCGTTTTTTCAATTCCAATCTCACTTCTACATAATCTCTCCCTACACTACTCAACTCCCTTATTCTCCCCTTCAGTATGTCTCTCGTTTGCTTTATTCCATAGAACCATGATCTGATTGTGTCCAGAAGATCTCAGTAGGTTTGTACTCCCTGTAAGACTGTGTCTTTACCCTTTAAGTCAGTCATTGGACGGCTGAACACATAATCTGCTTTAATAAATGCTTACAGAAAGAGAGGAATCAACAATGCCAGAAAAGCTACCTGAAGCAACTGAGTCATGTAGGTATATTTCTCTCACTGCCCTCATAAACCGAGATAACTTGTATTATTTCTGGGACTCACTTGGTATTAATGAAAGGATTCTAGTAAAAAGTGTATTATTGTTACATCTAGCACTAATAAATGCTTACTATATGCTAAGAGTCATATAAATTATCTGTCATCTCTAAGCAACCCTACTGTTGTACTTATTTTACAAATAAGGAAACGGAACCTCACACATTTAGTAACTTCATACATCACAAATCTAGTATTTACTGAGATACACTCTCTGTGCCAGGCACTGTGCTGACCCAAGTCACGGAGTTAGCAAGTGTGAGAGTCAGGATTTGGACCTGGGTCCCACTATGGAATCAGATGCTACAGGGATAAAGCTCTCAGTAAAGAATGCAATTTAAATATTAGCCACTTATAAAAAGTATATGTTGGCCCCCAAATTTACTCAGATTAACCTTTAGCAAGAAAAACTAGGTCTGATTGATTTAGACAACACTATAGTTTCCCTATAGATTTTATTTATTTATTTATTTATCCTCACCTGAGGACATTTTTCCATTTTTTGTTTAGATAGAGTGGGGAGGAAGAGAGAAGAAGAGAAGGAGAGAGAGAAACATCAATGTGAATGAGACACATCGAGTGGCTGCCATCCACACAACCCAACCAGGGCTGGAGACAAACTGCAACCGAGGTACGCGCCCTTAGCGGGAACCGAACCCGGGTCTCTCAGGACCGCAGGCCAACGCTCTAACCGCTGAGCCAAACCGGCCAGGGCCAGATTTTTTTTTAATACAACAAAAAATGGATTTATTTGCAACACAGCCCAGTCCCCATCACTTCATTACAGCAGAAGCATAGAAAGGAGTCACACCGCAAGATAGGATGATGGAGTTTAATCATTATGTTAAATGATAACATGTATATATAATTTCACTTTAATCACAGGACAGAGACTGTACACTGAAAACGGAACCCTCTGTTCCCAATGAAGGTCTGCCAGTTGCCTCAATAATATCCTGTATTGGGAAAGGTTCCAATTCAGCAGCGTTACTGTGTGATGTCCTGTTCCTTGGCCTGTCATTGATTTTCCTCGCCTGCTTGTGCTCTGACATCTAGCTGTGATCTGCCTGTCACACACACACACAGGTGTCCTCCTTATCCAGTCAACATGTGGCACCCTGCACTGGGCCATCCTCCAAACATGGACACCTTTCTCATTCCACCAAACTTGGACATCCCATGCTGGGAAGCCCTTCCGCATGCAAGCCTTCGTCACATTTCTTAAGATGGTACCTCACCCCAGGCCACCCCCATGCATGGACGTCCTGCTCACTTCAGTAGGGCTCTGACTTTGCTCTTGGGTTTCTCCCCAGCTCTCCCCCTGCTGTATGGATGCCCTCCGCACCCTGCCCAGGCTCACACACCACACCCTTGGCTATCCCTCCATGGGATGCTCTTCTCTCCCAACTCAAGCTGTTACCATTGCAGGACTGCCCTCCTTCTGAAATCTGTGCCTTGCCCTGTCAGCTTTCCACACCCTTCCCTGCGGTTCTCCTCTGCAGATGCCTTCTTTGTACTTTTCAGGCTGCACGCCTCACTCCAGGCCATCACAGCCCCTTAACGCACACATGTCTACTGTGCTCTCCCCACAAGAGCTTTGAAACAAAATAGTTCAGGGGAAAAGGGGGAAGCAATTGAAGGGAAGGGAAGAAGAGAAAGAAGAGAATTCTAGAATTTCTTTTTTGTTAATAGGCAATTAAGTAATTATATACTTCTAAATAAACTCTTGGTGAAAGGGGGAAAAAAATCAATGGGTCTTAGTAAGTATTTCAAACTGAATGATGGTAACAGAATATGTCAAAGTTATGGATTGAAGTGACTTCAGTGTCTTTAGAAAAAATGACTGCATTAAATTCACAAATTTAAAAAGAAAGGTTGAATATCAACTGTACCAGAACATTATAAATGAGGAAAACAAATATATTCAGAAAAGTAAAATAAAGGAAACAATACACATAAGAACAAAAATCAATGAAATAGGAAAGAAGTGTACAATAAAAAAAAAAAGTAATGCCAAGAGATGGACTTGGAAAGACGAATAAAGTTAATAAACTCATGGCCTTTGTGTTGCCCATTCACTTTTGGAAAGGCGTAAACTAAACACTTTGCAGACCTTTCCTGACATTGAATTTGATGTGTTTGGTGGAGGAGCTGCAAAAAAAAAAAAAAAGAAAAGAAAAAAAGAGAAAAGGCACAAATTTCTACAGCAAGTATGGAAAGGAAGTTATAACTATAGAGCCTACAGATATTAAAAAGGCAGTAAAAAAGATAGTATGAACAACTTGATGCCAATAACTTTGAAATTTTGGATAAAATGGACAAATATCTAGAAAAGCCAAAACTTACCAAAACTGAACAAGAAATATAAAATTTAAATAGCCCATACCCATTGAAAAAACTGAATCTATAGTTTAAACTATCACAATAACAAACCCTTCAGGTTAAGATGGATTTCACCAGCAAATTCTTTAACATTTAAGGAGCAAATAATGCCAAACCTAAAAACTCGGCTAGTGAATAGGGGGGAGAGAGAGAGAGAGAGAGAGAGAATACTATTTAATGTCATTTATAGGGCAGCATAATAGTTCTATAACATGACCAAAAAATGCAATAAAAGAAAATTACCAGCCAACAGAGCTCATAAACAGAGACACCAAAATCCTTAACAAACTGAACAAACCGAATGCCTACCTCACACTATAAACAACAACACAAAAACAATTCCAAATGTATCATGACCTAAACATGAATGGTAAAACAATAAAGTCTCTAAAGGAAACCATTTTTGGGACCATGAAGTAGCTACATATTTTTATCCTCACCCGAGGACTTTTTTTTTTTTTTTTTTTTTGCATTTATCATCAGATAGAAAGGGAGGAAGAGAGAGAGAGAAACATCGATGTGAGAGAGACACATTAAGTGGTTGCCACCCACACGACCCCAACTGGGCTGGGGATGAACTGCAACCGAGGTACGTGCCCTTTAGCGGGAACCAAACACAGACTCTATTGTCCGCAGGCTGACGCTCTAACTGCTGAGACAAACCGGCCAGGGCTAACTACATATTTTTAAACAGAAAACCAATATTATTAGCCCCAAAGTGCAAGATCAATAAATTAGATTTCATTAAAATTAAAAAGACATTTATTAAAATGTACCACTGAGGGGGTGAAAAGGCAAGCAACACAGTAGGAGAAAATATTTGATAAATCTATTGGACAAATCAATTAGAAGGCAGATAGTCTAATTCAAAAAGGATACACTTGAATGGGCACTGCATAAAATAAATATTATTACTATTTCAGGATATATAAATTAAAATACACTCACCAACACTGCAATAATTTAAAGTACAAATTCTGGTTGAAATAGACAAATCAATGCTATATAAGAGAGTTTGGAAAAGATCTGTGTAAATATGCAAATTGAGTATATCACAAAGGCTCCAATTCAAATTGCTGGGAAAAGGATGAACTTCTTCAATAGATACTTTGAGATAATAAGCTATTGAAC